GGGCTTGCATGAGGCTTCATGTGCTGGTTGCATCCACTGGTGAAAATGCAACTGGGCTTATGTCCAGGGACTTGCTGACAAATGCTGTGGGTCAGTGGGAGAGGGGTTGGCCCTGCTGGAGTACATGGTGCTTGTCGGGGGGGTGGCAGCACTGCACTGTGGCAGGCAGAGGAACTGGGTTTGGGCACTGTGGTGCCAGTCGTGGGTGTTGGGGGGATGTTAGCAGGGCTAGTTCCATGCACCAGCCCTTGGCAGGGTAGGATGACCCTGCCTTCCTGCTTTACTGGATTGGGAGGTGCGTTCCCATGCAAGCAGCTCTGGGGTGGAACACATCTGGGCCGTGCCTAGCGCAGTGAGGCCCCAGCTCTGATGCTGATGGGCAGTATTTTCCTAGAAGCTGAGCCAGGAGCCTTCCCCCCCCCCCAACCCCTCCCTGGTGGTCATTCAAGAAGGGGCCCAGTACTTTTTTGCAGCCTAATCCATGGAGAACTGGGCTGGGAGGGCCTGGGTACTGTGCATAGACCAGGAACCACTCCCTGCTTTAGAGGGGAGGTGTTGGGAGGTCCCAGCTCCATGTTCTACCCACTAGGAGATGCTGCCCTCCCAAATGCCTTGATTTCCCCAAAGACAGATGCCAGAGGTTGCTCCCCTTCCCTGCCCTGTGTTTCTGTTTCCCACTGCATGCCCTACGCTTATGATACCCCTGTTGCCAGTACATCAGAGCATTGGGGCAGACCACACCGACATCTCCCCAAGAGGGTCACACCCAGGCCCTGCTTTTTCCCACATGCACCCGCCTGGGTTCATGTGCAGTGGTGCGTTGCGAGAAACACGACCCACCCGCTGGGAGACTGTGCCCAATATGAGTCTGCCCAGTTGAGGCATGATGGGATAGCTACCCAGAATGCACTGCCAGGCCTGTCTTGCTCCCAGGCAGGGCGCTAGGTGGGGGACAAGTTTTCCCTGAATTTAGGAGAATGGGGGTGGCTTTTTTGAGGGGGAGCCCATGTCTTGCATCAGCGTGCAGGCGAGCGAGGGGGCTGTGTATATGGGATATGGGTTCCTTTCCTAGCTTGCAAAGACTGGGGGCGGAATCTGGCCCTGGCCCCATCCCCCCAGGCTGTCCTCAGCTTTTGCTAAAAAACATAGGGACTTTTTAGGCCCTTTTGGTTTATCCCTTAAGCCCCAACCTGAACTCTCTCCCTACTGCTCTCTCTCCACTGGGCACAGGGCACCCGGACTCCTGGTTCCCATATGCAGTTCAGCCTGGGGAGGTGAGAGCAGACTGAACACTGGCTCCATCTTAGCCCCCCAGTTCTCCCCAGTCTCCTACCAGGAGATTTCCCACTGGAAAATCTGTCAGAGCCAAGAAGTGTCGTAGATCAGGGGAGTAAAAACACACCAAAGCAGGTAATAAATAAATAATCTCTCTGTTTAGTTCAATAAGGGGTAAGTGCTGAGGTAAAAATCCTCCAGCAGGGCCCCTCACCTCCATTTGAATGCTTCACCTTAGAGCTGAGCTGTTGGTGTGTGCCTGGGACAGCGAATATGCTGGATTGGCATCAATATTTGATACTCTCCCACTGCCCCCTTTTAATTTAGCATGGGGCCGGTAGATTATTTTAAGGCTGTGAAGGATGGGCCGTATTGATGTGCTCAGTAATTGTGCTATTGCCTGAGGTTATATTTATATAGAAGGTAGAGGGTGTATATTAAAATCCATATTTTATTTTTAAAATTAATATTTTAAAATATATTTGCGCAAAGATGCATGTTTATATCTATATATTCATAGACTTATCTACATACACATGCAGTTATATGGGGTTATTTGCAGACTGTGTGTGTGTGCGCGTGTACGCGCATGTGTATAAAAACAGGATTGAAATGAAACTTTTGGGCATTATTGAAATTACCTGTTTCCTGGTTCTGAAAGGGATTTGCTTGGAATTCCACTCGTGAGAAATTTTAATTCTGGAATTTTCTGTCAGAAATTTCCATTATTTGTTTCTTTCTTCTTTTTTTCTCCTGTCAGAAATTCCCTTCTTCAGTTTCTTGCTTATAACAAATAAACATTTTTAAAATGTTTTTCCTGTTAGAAATTCCAATTGTTACATCCTTTCCTCTCAGAAATTCCCATTTTTGTTGTTTTCTTTCAGAAATTCCTGGTTTTTTATTTTGTCCTGTCAGTAATTCCTATTTTTACTTTCTTTCCTGTTTTTCTTTCCCCCTTGCTTTTCTTTCCTGTTTTTAGTTTTTCCTCAGTAAAATTCCCATTTTTACCTAATTTCATGTCAGAATTTCCCATTTTGTTTTAGTTTCTTTCCTCAATAATTTCCTTTTCCTTCCTTCCTTCCTCTACCCTCCCCAAGCCAGGCTCAGGGCAGCTTACAATAAGAGACCAGAATTACTTATAAAAAAGGGAACTGACCAGAACAAAACAATTTAAAAGGCAACCAGAGTGTCGGCATAAAGCAGAGACCCCTGGGCAATGCCCTGGCCCGGCTTTCCTTGCTAAGCACCTGCCCCAGAGGCCAGCTTTCCAGTGAAGGGCAGTTGGGGCTGATGGGCACCTGCCAAGGACACCCTCCCATGTGTCTTTGCCGTGCATTGGCAGTCGATGGCGCTTACAGGATGCTGCTCTCGCCCACCCTCAGCAGTTGTCGTGGGTGCAGGCAGTCCCTGCGATCTGTAGGGCCCAGACTGTTTAGGGCCCCTTTTCATTTCTTTCCTCTTTTTTTTCTTTTTTTTTTTTTTCCTGTGAGGGCTTCCCATTTTTTTCATGCCCATCAAAAATGCTAATTGTTTAGTTTCTTTCCATTGAGAAATCCCCCTTTATGTTAGTAATTCCCCCATTCTGTTTGTTCCTTTTCTTCCAGAAATTCTCATTTTTTGTCAACATTTCCTGTTTCTTGTTCCTTTCCTGTCAGATGAGTTTCATTTTCTGTTCCTTTCCTATCAGAAATTTCTGTGTTTCGTTAGACTTTCCTGGTTTTTTTGTTGCTTTCCTGACAGAAAAAAATCCAATTTTTCTTTTGTTCCTTTTCTGTCAGATTCCTATTTTTGGTCAGAAACTTCTATTTTTTTTAGCTTCTTTCGTGACAGAAATTCCCATGATTTTTTTGTCAGACTTTCCTGTTTTTGTTGCTTTCCTGTAATAAATAAATAAATAAATAAAATATATCTAATCCTTTTTATTTCTTGCCTCTCAAAAAATCAGAAAATTTCCTGTCAGAAATTCCCATATTTCAAGTTTTTCTTGTCAGAAATTTACATTTCTTTTATCTTTTTTTTTTCTCTTCCTCCTTCTCTTCTTTAAATTTTTTTTCCGTCAGAGATTTTGCATGTTTTAAATACTTTTCCTGTCAAAGTTCTTTTTCTTTTCGGACTTTTCCTGGGAGGTGCATTGAATTTCCAGCTTTCCATCCTGTTTGGGGTGAAAGCAGCTCTCAGAGGTGGCCTCATGATTTTCCTGCCTTTTGGGGTCCCCCCCCGATTTCTGGCTGCACCCTCCTCCAATGGACCTGGCCTGTGGGCCATAGTTTCCTTTCGGCCTTGCTCCTGACCCCTCTATGCCTATTTAGGGAAGGAAGCACAGGAGCCGAGAGGCCAGGGTGTAGTAGGGCACCTGAGTTCTGGCCTCAGCTCTGCCACCGAATTGCCCATCGACCTCGGTCAAGTCAGTTCACCTCTCCCCCTCTTTTGTGCCTCAATTTCTCCATGGCGTATGACCACGTGGGCCTTTGTGTGAAGCCTTTTGAGGTCTAATGGGTGGGGATTGTGCAGGCTGGGAGCAGTCCGAGGCCCTTTTTTCGCGCGGCGGGCTGTGGCCAGCAGCCCGGACACGCCGGGTCGGGGAAGACGGGCGGCACACTAGAATTAGGCATGGACGCTTAGTGGTTGATTTAAGATTATTTTACTTACACCGAAGATGGTCGCGGCGCAGGCAGGAAAACGTGCTTGAGTTGCGGTTACAAAACAAAACAAAAAACTCGAACCTGCAGAACATAAGGGTATGTCGCAATGGGGTTTCGGCAACGGGAGATGAACAAAAACCTCAGGAGTACGTCGCAATGGGGTTTCGGTGCCGGGAAGAAAAAAAACTGCAGGACTCGAACCCCGGGTAAAGCTCTGGATTCACTCACACGAAGTTTGCTAGGCTCCATGGAACTTTGCGCGCAGGGAAGGGTACGTCGAGGGATCAAGCGGCGATGGGGAGAGGCGAGAGGTTGATCAGACCCCTATAGCCTTCTTGAAATACACGCTGGGTCCGATAGGCTCCGCAGGGCTTAGAGATCTTCACGAGATGTGAAGTTCTCCTCCTCCTCATGGACTGGGGGGAAACCCCCTCAAGCTTTTTATCCGGCTAGCAAGCCAATCGCTAGCCGCCATGTAGGAATAATTTAGAACTGGACAATAGCGGGGCACGAGTCTGAATACAAATGGCGGGAACTCCTTGCAACGTGCATCTCCTTTCTGCAGCTCAGAAATGCACCCTGCAAAGAAAGCTACAAGTGGCGGGAAATAATTCAGCAGTGCCGAAGCGCACACAAACAAAAATCACACCCTTGGGTTGTGACAGGGATGACAAGTCTTTTGGGTACCAGAACAGAGTACTGAGAGAGGAAAGGCTATTCAGGTGTGAACTGGGCCCTCCATACTGGCTTAACTGGACTTAAATTCTGACCCTCACTTATGACAATTAAGGCAGGATGTTACTGGCTCTCATTCGTATGGGGGCATCTGAGTGTGGTGTTTTCATGGGATTCAGGCCTGTGATACTGCTGTGGAAACTGTGTCTTTGAGGAGCTTCTTGTTTCTCCCTCACCTGGAGCCCTGGTGTAGATAGGTGTGTGCAGCCAGAGGTCTGATGCCCCCAGGCTGGTTTGGAAGAAGAGTGTGTCCACCTGGGAAGGACAAGGCAGGGTTCTGGGTTTGTGTAGTTGAGATGGTTTGAAACACCTGTGATCCTAGTCCCTTCTTTTCCCAGATGGTCGCCACCCAAGAAAGGAAACTGAGGTATGATGTCCTGCCCCGCCCTGGCGCTGCTGAGTGTAAATCCTTGCCTCCCCCACCAAAGTGTTCCCGGCTCTTCCCAGACAGTCCTGGGAGCGAGTCCTGCGGCCGAGCCAGACGGCTTTAGCTCGTTAATCTCCTTGTGTAATTAAATCCCCGGAGACCCGTAATCGCTTTGGCTGTGCTGCTTCCACCTCCCCTGATCTGTGCAGAGGCAGGCACAGAGCTTAGGGAGGGGGTACAGATGAGACCCCCAACTCTGCCTCTACTTGCTTGTGCAGCCCTGGCTGGAGGGGCCTTGGCTGCTTCCAGATTTGGTTTCGCTTCCTGGGGAATGAGGGTGAAGAAGCCTCCTGCATGTCCTGTTTGGACTCTGGCTTGAGGGGGATGTTTCTAGGTAGCACCCAGCGTGATAGGGTCCTGATCTTGGCTTGGGGGCCTGGGCAGTGCCTGGTGCAATGGTGCCCCAATTTCAGCCTGCGGGTCTGAGCAGTCCTGGGCACAGTGGGGCCCCCATCTCAGTTTGTGCAGCTTTCAGCACGCTGGAGAGTTGTCTGTGGCCATTTCCTAGGACCTGCTCCTCTTAGTGGAGGCATCCAAGCTCTGAGCCCATAAATCCACTGAGGCAAGAGCAAAACACACTTTTAATCTGTTTCTCTTGCTGACCTTTGCTGGGGGGCAGGGAGCAGTTTTGCTGGGACAATGGAGGGAGCTGGGGGGGGCTCCAACAGGTTTTTTGTGTCCTCAGGTGGGGAATCGGTCTGGGATTTCAGAGTAATGGGTTTAAATGGAGTGCTGGGCTTGCTAAGGGCTGTGAATTCGCCATTCAGTGCAGCTAGCTAAGGGTTGAACCCAGCCACTGCATAAAAGGGCTCTGGATATTCCCCCTCACCCTGCCCATCTTGGGGGTGGGGCGTGGCAGCTGTTCAACATTTGCTTGCTCTGTGCCAGGAGATGCAGCCAGCTCTGGGGTGAGTGGCATAGCATCAGAGCAGCTCAAAGAGATGGGCCTTGGCTCCCCTGATGGGGAAGGAAAGAGAACCCAGGAGTTCGGGCTCCCAAGAGCCCAGCTCTAACCCATACAAGCCATTTACTTCAAAGAGCTGAGAGCAGAACCCAGGAGTCCAGGGTCCCAAGAGCCCACTCTAATCACTCCAGCCCACTTCACTCCAAAGAGCTGGGAGTGAACTCAAGAATCCTGGTGCGCTGCTCTCCCCCCCCCCCCCCCCCGGGCGGGGGGGGGGGGGGGGGGGGGGGTCAGGGCACAGCAAGCTGTTAACCCTTCCTATGCTGGGCTGGGAGTGAATGTGACATAAGTGGAAGTGGAGGGAAGGGGGGCACTAGCATTAAGGAGGGGCAGGGGCTCTTCCTGCTCCTCCCCCATGCTCATCTCATGGCATCTCCCCTCCCATCACAGGGCTGCTGTCTGCCAGATCTCACACCCCCCTCTGTGATGCCGGGAGAGGCTCAGGGCTTGGGCTGCTGAGATCTGTGCGAGGGAGTGCTTCTGTGACATGATGGCCCGACTGGCTCCTGCCTTGTGGAGCCTGTGCGTCACCACCGTCCTCGTCACCTCAGCCACACAAGGTAGGATGGAGGGGGGCTGAGCATGGGGGAGGAGCTGGATATGGAGGGAGGTGGGAGGGACTTAGGTACTGAGGGAGAAGGTGCAGGTCCAGAGACTTGGAGAGCATGGGGGGTTGGGAACTCATTGCACGCCCCCCCCCCCCCACCCCCCCCTGGCCTGCCCTGACCTGCCACTAGGGGTTGCTCTGCAGCTGTCAGCTCTCACTAGGCCTCAGTACCTCCTGGGGGAGGGGATATGACCCCCTAGTGCTCAAATCGGCCCCCACAGTGTCCCTTCTAGGGAGAGAAGGGTTTTTTTTTTCTAGCCCTTTGGTGGGCTGGTAGTCCTGGGGGTGGGTGGGGGGTTCTTGTCATTTCTAGCATCATGGTACAGCCACGTGGTTGGGGGGAATATGACCCTGGGTGCCTCCTGCCAGTCCTGTGTGACCCTTGCTCTCAACTCCAGCCCTGAGTGGGCCTGAGTCATTGCAATGAGACTGGGAGCTTCTGGGGCAGGGGCTGCTGCTCTTGATGTCCTGCCAGTTGTGTCCGACACCTCAAGCCCCCACCTCAAGCTGTGTCCTGCTTCATCCTGATGCCTTCAACTGACCAGTGCAAGGAAGTGGTCAGTAAGGCTAATCGGACCTTGTCATGCATCTACAGATGCATCACAAGCAGGTCCAGGGAAGTGATTCTTTCCCTCTATGCAGTCTTGGTCAGGCTGCAGTTGGAGTACTGCATCCAGTTTTGGGTGCCGCACTTCAGGAGGGATGTGGCTAGCACAGAGAGGGTCCAGAGGAGGGCCACTCGCATGGTCAGGGGGCAGCAGGCCAGGCCCTACGAAGATGGCTAAAGGGCCTGAATCTATTCAGCCTCCACAAGAGAAGATTTAGAGGTGGCTGTCTATAAAGTCTGGTGGCTGTCTATAAAGTCACCGGAGGGACCAACGAAAAATGGGTGAGGCTCTGTTCCCCCAGGCATCACCTGGGATAACAAGGAATAACGGCCACAAATTGATTGAGAGTAGGTTCAGGCTTGATATCAGGAGACCTTACTTTACAGGTAAGGCTGCCAGGCTCTGGAATGAGCTCCCAAGGGAGGTGGTGCTCTCCCCTGCCTTGGAGGTCTTCAAGAGGAGGTTTGATAGATATCTGGCTGGGGTATTATGATCCCAGCACTCGTTCCTGCCCAGAGTGGGGGGTCAGACTTGATGATCTGTTCAGGTCCCTTCTGACTCTAGAAACTATGTAACTATGACCAAGGTGGTCTTGTGCTGCTTTGTCTTGTGCTCTGGTCAGGATCAGGCCCCCAACATTCCCCAGCTGGATGGGCATTGCTGTGTTTAATACCTGGGCGGGGGAGACTGGGTACCCCAGGAGCAGTTGCATTTCCCTGGCAGCTGCCCTGGGGAATGGGTTAGAGGGGCCTGGCTTCAGAGGGAGTCTGTGGCAGATCATGTCCAGACTGATGCTCCCAGCTGGGTGTACATGGGGCAGAGGAGGGAGCGGGAGCTCTGCTACTGGCAGGAGAGACTCTGGCCATGTGAGCAGATCATGGGGGCTCCTGGGTTTCATGGAGCCACCAATCCTCATGAAAACACCCATGACTACCCCAGGATTTTCACAGATTGTGTTATGGGGGCCTTGGAGCATCATGAGTCCCCTCCCCTACCAGACCATATCTCAGCCCTGCAGCCAATCACTACCTCCCTTTGTCCTGACTGGCCCTTCCCACATTTGCACTGATAAGTGGTGTGCAAGCCTGGGGTGGATCACGAGTCACATAAATCACTGCATACCCCGATTGGCTGGCTTTGTCACCAAGTCATGTTTCGTGCCCCGATTGGATGGGTCTGTCACCAGTGTCACACTTCGCCTATTCTGGCTCTCTGATTGGATAGCTCCATGGCCAGTATCACAGTCCTGTCCCCTGCTCCCTCACTGGATGTCTGGCACTTCCTTTGCTTGAAAGTGACCAATTCAGGCCTCCAGTGAAATCTGTGAAAGCTCTGGTGAGCCTTTCACAAGGGTTGGGTGGATGAATGAACCCTCGTGACCTCCCTGAGTTCCCTCCAGGGGTCAGTCAAAACCCAGATTGCTCCACTTGAGACCTGGCTGCATTTCAAAGCTGTTGTGGTAGCAGGCTTTGGCATGGTGTTGGTAGTACTGAGAGGTGGAGAGAGCACTGGGTGGGAGCCAGGTAGCCTGGGTTCCATTCCCCAATCTGGGAGGGGAATGGGATCTAGTGGCTAGGGGAGAGGGAGGAGCTAAGAGCCCAGACACCTGGGTTCTCTCTCTGATTCTGCCACTGTTCTGGTGTGTGACTCGGGGCCCATGACTCCCCCTCTGCTATGCCTCAGTTTCTCTTCTCCTTCCCCACAGCTCTGAACTCTTCAGGGCTGGAATTTCCCATTGCTTTCATGGAGGGGGGCCATTCAGGTACCTGGGCTAGGTTGTCAATACAGGACCCTCTTTGTGCACACATGTGCATGCATAAGCACGCTTGCACGTGTAAGCTCACTCAAGTGCCCGCCTGCAGACAAATGCATGCTGGAATGCACACATGGGCCCACTGACAAGCATGAGCCATGCATACATGTGTGCATGAATGGATACTGACATACTCACAAGCACATTGCCAGATGGGAGCACATGCAAATGCATCTACCTGCACATGGACCCACATGCACAAGCACCCATGGGCATGTTGGCACACCCAGGTACATTGAAATGCGTGTGCATATGCACATACATGCACAAATGAATGTACACACTTGGGCCTGTTCATCCATCCAACAGCCAGACCACTGTCCCCTTCTCTCCCCCGCCCTCCCCCAATTACTTCCCAGCAGGCTCCATATCCCTGCACTGTGCTGCGAACCCAGGAGTGCTGGTTCCCAGCCCTCTCTGCGTTTACCTAGTAAACACCATGCCCCTCCCAGAACTGGGGCCAGGACCCAGGCATCCAGGTTTCTGTTGGGGTAGGGAATGGTGTGCCTGTGGTCACTGCTCTGTTTTGGAGAAGGGAAGGGATAGCTCAGCATGTTCCTGGCTCCATCCTGGGTGCGTCAGTGTGGCGAGGAAACAAGGGGAGGGGCAGGGGCTGATTAAGCATCAGGGCATGAGCCTGCCCTGTCCTGCCCAGCACCACCCTCTGCTCCCATCCTGGGAAGCAGAAGGCCAGGGCTGAGATACTAGGTAGATTATGGCCTCTCTCCCCCATTAAGTTGCCCACTTGGAGGACTTCAGGTCCCATCCTTGGGACCCTTGAGCCTGCTTTCAATCCCCAGAGCTGGGAATGAACCCAGGTGTCCAGGCTCCCAGCCTCCTGGCCCCAACTATTAGAACCCGCTTTCCTCCTTGGTCTGGGAATGAACCCAAGCATCCTGGCCCGGGTCCCAGGGTCAATTGCATTGTTTGTGGGGGTAGAGACGGCAGTTTCCTGCACAGCTGGATCTTCTCCACATGGGGAGATGGAGGTATATGGGACATGAGGAAGTTCTCAGAAGGGGGAGTTGTTGGCATTGCCTGTGTGGAGGAGGAGTATAGGGTCACTGATGAGACCCCTCTGAGGCTGTGCTGATCACAGGTCTGAGCCAGGTGGGGTGGGGAGGCATGTGTGCCTGGGGCTGTGGGACTCCCTGGGTAGCCTCCCTCTCCCCTGTGATGAGGCACCTGTTCCACCTCCCACAGGTCTGAGCCGGGCAGGGCTGCCCTTTGGGTTGGTGCGTCGGGAGCTGGCATGCGAGGGTTACCCCATTGAGCTGCGGTGCCCAGGCAGCGACGTCATCATGGTGGAGAACGCCAACTACGGGCGCACGGACGACAAGATCTGTGATGCCGACCCCTTCCAGATGGAGAATGTCCAGTGCTACCTGCCCGACGCCTTCAAGATCATGTCCCAGCGGTGAGTGCCAGGGGCGGGTGGCTGTTTGTCTGTCTGTTCCTCTGTCTATGGCTCTGTCCATCCTTCCATCTATTCCTCCACCTGTCCTTCTGGCCATCCATTCTGTCCATCTATTCATGTGTCTGTCCATCCATCCCCTCAGCCCTCTGTCTGTCTGTGTATCTCTCTGCCCGTGCCAGCACAGCCATCCCCGCTATCCACACAGCTCTCGCCCAGCCATTTCTCCCTCCATCCATCCCCACACAGTGCTTTGTCTGGTTGTCTATCTGTTCAGTCCCCTGGCTGTCCACACCTCCATCCCAGTGCAGCCGTTCTGTCCCTCTCCACACAGCTCTCTCAGTTTGTCTCTGCACCTTTCTCTCTGCCCATCCACCCTTTCTGGGGCTTGGGGTCAGGTATCTGGGGGCAGTGTGCAGGTGCTGAGGGAAGATGGGGACACTGGAGGGAGCAGGGTTTAGTGGTTAGAGTGGGGAGTCTGTACTCAGTGCCTGATGAGCTGGACTCCCAGAAGGCTTTGCAGCAGGAAGCAGCATGGGGGTGGGGTAGAAGCATCCCCAGGCCCCACCCCCCAATGCTACTCCCTGCCTCTTGTCCAGGGACCCCCCTCCCTCTCCTTCATTAGCTGCTGCCACCTGCTCTCACCAAGGCTGATGCAAGAGCAGGGGAGGGGTGGGGGGGCCATTCCCGGGGGCCAGCAGGTGCCAGGCAGCCGTGCCACTGCAGTGCCAGTGATGGGAGGAGAAGGAGGGCTCCCCCACCAGTGCCACCTGCCCTCCCACCCCTGGCTCCAGCTTCTCCTGTACCAGGCGCCAGCCAGGGGCACATCCATCAGCCCTGGGGACAGAGCTTTGGTGGGAGAGGTCCAGAGCCTGGGTTGCACTGGGGTTTGGGGAGGGCTGGGAGCCAGGACACCTGGGTTCTACTTTAGCTTGGGGGTGGAGAGAGGAGGCATCTGGTGGATTAAAGTTTGAGTGGGGTGTGACTATAAGCTAGGATGCTTGGGTTCTGTCCTCTGCTCTGAAGAGTACTGTGGGGTCTGGGGGGTTATAGCAGGAAGGGAATAGGAGCCTGGATGCCTGAGTTCAGTCCAAGCTTTGGGAGAAGAGTGGGGTCTGGGGGGTCAGAGCAGGGGGTTGGGCAGGATTACCGGTGCGTTTTGCCCCCCTTTTCCACTCTCCCAACTTGGTTCTTCGATGGGCCTGGTTCCCAGCCCCCTGCATTTCTGCGTTCCCCACCCCCGCAGTAACCTGCAGTGACAAGCTCATCCCAGCCTGTGATGGGCAGCCTGTGTGAGATGAGCTGACCCCTCCTCAAGCTGGGTTCTGGTGGGGGGAGGGAGGGGGGCAAGGATCCAGCCCCTCCCCTGCAGTAGGATGAAAAGAGCCTGGTGCAGCAGCACCCCCTGGTGGCTGCTCTGTGCTATTGCACTCGTGCAGAGGCTAGGCCAAGGCTAGGTACAGGTTTCCCTCGCTTTATGCTGTACATGTGTTCCTGGAAAACAGTGCATAACTCGAGTTTGCATAAAGGGGAACCCACTTTACAATGTAACACATAGGGATATGTTCCAAGACCTTGACTGTACTGATGCCCAGACCTATTTCTACCACATTTACAAGACAATTTTGGTACTCACCAACAGCAGACAGTACACACAAGCACAGGGTGGTGGTGAATGTTTAGTTGGTGTGAAGAGAGGGTGCTGAAGGCTTCACTGATGGGCTAGGGATGGGGGGTAGGAGATAAGCTAGTGGGACACTTAGAAGCCATAATGGGGATGGCAACTACAGAAGCATGTGTTGCAGACGAGTGACGAGCACAGATCCACATAGGAGACTATATTTTGGTGCACGTCACTCCCACAGTGCACTGCCCAGAACAGCTGACTGTGGGCTTCCACCACACTGATCACATAAGAGTGAATTTACCTTGCATATAACAAATTTTTGGTATAAAAAGGGTCATCGTGTAAGAACGAATTCACACATACAGAATCCACATAAAGCAAGGGAAGCCTGTACTGCAATACCTGCTCCATCTGGGCTCTGTCCTCCCATGGCCCCTGGCATGCCCCAGGGCTCTGCAAGCAGGGTGGAGGGGCAGGGATGGCCGGCCTGGACTCCAAGTTTCTGCCATGTCTCATCACGCACATCTCACACTCCTGATGTGGGCACTCACTGCCAGGCTCCAAGGCTCTGGCTGGCAGGCACAGGGGTCAGGGAGGGCCCACGGAGCTGATCCGGGACTACATGGGGTATGTGCACATGCTGCAGTTAATCCAAGGTGTTTTGGAATGGACAGACAGTGCCCAGTGTTGGACGCCCACAGCAAGGGTATTGGGCATGGCTCTGTGCATACGTATGTATGTACATGCACCACTGCCTCAGATGGGGGAAAGGCTGTCTCATCTCCCTTTCCTGGGTGCCTCTAGTGGCCCCTGGTGAAATACCCTCCCCCCACCCTGCAGGTCTTTGCCCCTTGATCTATGACAGGTGAATCTTGCCCCAAATTTAAGCCCTCTTTTCCCCTCCCCCAGTCACAGGTTAACACCTACCTTGGACAGGCCAGCCTCAGACCCCACCCCAGTGGTGGACTCTGGACCTGGTGCTGCTGATCACAGCTGCCTAGAGGAGGCAGGGGGGATTCAGGCTGGAAGTAGGGAGCCCCAGAGTTCAGGCATCCTAAGTGGGAAAGGACTCCTGTAAGGAGATTGGGGAGGAAACCCAGGAGTCCTGGTCACTAGCTTACAGTCCACTCTAACCACTAGGATTCACTTCAGCTGTTGAGCTGAGGATGAACCCAGAAGTCCAGATTCCCTGCCCGGGCTCCATCTTCCCCCGTCCAACCAGAGTCAGGGTGTGAACCCCCTTCCAATCCTAATTGTAGTCCCAATCCCACTGTTCCCCTACCCCCTGCTTCTGCTCTGGCTGGCTTCGTGATGCCCCCTCATTCCTATGTTCCACTGCTCCACCCCAGAAGTGGCTGCATGATATTAACCCCTCATGTGTTCTCCCCCCTGCAGGTGCAACAACAGGACACAGTGTGTGGTGGTGGCTGGTTCGGATGCCTTCCCAGACCCCTGTCCTGGGACCTACAAGTACCTGGAGGTCCAGTATGACTGTGTCCCTTACAGTGAGTCCACTTCTCCATGCTCTTCTCACTGCTGGCTTCTCCACCCTCTGCGACAGCCCCTTCCCTCCCCCCCCAGGACCCAGGGGGCAGATACCCCCGAACTGGCTCCCTAGCCCAGTGAGGTGGCACCAGGGAGGGGGGAAGGGGCATGTCTGGGTCCACCCTGACTAGGGCCACTTATATAGGGGAGGGGGGGGGGGCAGGGTATGAATGCCCCATGGTGATGCTAAGTGGCACCATGCTGCAGGGAGCAGCGAGGCCAGCAGGGGGTGCTCTTCCCCGGCAGGTAGGACCGGCTTCAATGCTCTGTGGCAGCAGTAGGGGGTGCTGTGCTGCCAGGGACACAAGGGGATGCTCTCCTTGCACAGTGGGGAGGGAAGGCTCCAAGGTGACTCCACCCCATGCATCACCCTTGCACCCCAGCCTGCACTGCCTTGTATCACCAATAGAAGGCTCCCTATGTCTTTCCAGCACCCCTCCCCCACCCCCAGCTGAGGCTAAGCCCCTGGGGGAGTTACCCTTGGATGGGACAGGGGGATTTCCTGCCCCAGGATGAGCAGGAAGCTGATGGGAGCAGAGAGGGGATTTGGGGACACCTGGCAAGTGGTTAGAGCAGGGATCTGGGAGCTAGGACACCTGGGTTCCCCATTATGGGAGGGTAGTGGGATCTGGTGATTTAGAGCAGGGTGGGGCTGGGAGCCCAGGCACCTGGATGTAGTGATAGATCGTGGAGATAGATGGAAAGGGTGCACGTGTTGGGGGGGGGGGGGGGGGGGGGAGGCAGGGCACCTGCCTGAGACCAAATTGGGACATGCTAGGAGATCCGCCAGGGGAGCAGAGCTACACTGATCTGCATGTGTCACAGTGCATACGAGAGTGCACCAGTGTGTGATCCTTGCATGTGTATGTATATATGTATTAGTGTGTCACCTTGGATTGGTGCGTGTTGCAGGGTGGCTATAGGTGGATACCAGAAGTGGTGCTGGAAAAGGCAGGTTTTCCATCCAAGTACTAACCAGGCCCAATCCTGCTTGGCTTTCAAGATCAGGGGTGTGCAGGGTGGCCACAGGTCATGGCAAGCGGGTTTGGAAGAAACGAGGAGGGTTGGAGAGAGCAGGAAGTCCCACTGCCGGGCCTGTTGTGCTCTATGGTGGCTCCTTCCAAACGAGTGAAGGCATTCCAGAGCAGAAGGCCAGGAGGGCACCGCTGCTCGCAGTCCTGTGCTTTGGGGCTGGACTCCCAAGACAGGCCACCCCGTCACTCCCCTGGAGAGTCTTTCCAGCTTGCCGGAGATGGAGGAGACAGCTTCAGGTCATTGCCCCATGTTGCCCCCTCCAGAGAGGTGGCAGCAGCTGCTCTGGTGAAGGGTGCTGTTTCAGGGTCCCCTCTGCCTCCTGGGTCTGCAGCCCCTGCCCTCCCCACCCGCTTTGTCTGGTGAGCCAGGGCAACTCCTTGGGGGTGGGGGGGGGCACTTCCTGTGGTTTGATACCCTATACTTGGGAGAGGGGTTGGGGAGGGGCCCTGGTCACCCCCCCGGTTGGTTTCTCCTCGCAGACGGACAGATCTGGACAGATGGACGCCCCCCCCTCCCCCCCTCCCCTAACGCCTTCATTTCTGATTCCTGCTCTTTTGCCTTCCAGC